TTGTACCCTAAAAAAGAAAAGGTCTGTGAATTTGAAGACAAACTAACAAAAAGCATAGAGAAGAAAAAGACTGGGGAAAAAAGGAAGAAGAAAAAGCTTCAATGACACATATTTAAAATATCAGATAGTCTGAAATACACATAACTGAAATCCTAGAAGAAGTGGAGAGAAAGATTGGGCAGAGAAAATAAAGTAATAATGAATAAACCTCTAGCTAGACTGACAAGAAAAAGGAGACAAGAAAGAAATAACAAATATCTAAAACTGAAGGATGGGACATTACTGTAGAACCTACAGATGTTAAAAGTATAGGAAGGGAATATTAACTTTATGCCAATAAATTTGTCAACTTAGATGAGGTGGACCAAATTTTTCAAAGACAGAAAATACCAAAGCTTACTTAAGAAGCTATTTGGCCGGGCGCGGTGGCTCAAGCCTGTAATCCCAGCACTTTGGGAGGCCGAGGCGGGTGAATCATGAGGTCAAGAGATCGAGACCATCCCGGTCAACATAGTGAAACCCCGTCTCTACTAAAAATACAAAAAATTAGCTGGGCATGGTGGCACGTGCCTGTAATCCCAGCTACTCAGGAGGCTGAGGCAGGAGAATTGTCTGAACCCAGGAGGCGGAGGTTGCAGTGAGCCGAGATCGCGCCATTGCACTCCAGCCTGGGTAACAAGAGCAAAAACTCTGTCTAAAAAAAAAAAAAAAAAAAAAAAAAAAAGAAGCTATTTGGTAGATATACAAAGTGATTATAAAATTTATATAGAAAGGCAAAGATCTAAAATTGCCAGCACAATACTAAAGAAACATTATCTGAATTCAAGACTTACTCTAAAGCCAGAGTGAAGGCAAGTTTAGAGAAAGGATGGACATAAATTAATAGGACAAAAATAAAGTGTGTTAGTCTGTTCTCAAACTGCTCTAAAGACATAGCCAAGACTGGGTAATGTATAGAGAAAAGAGATTTAATTGACTCAAAGTTTTGCAGGGCTGGGGAGATCTCAGGAAACTTATAATCACGACAGAAGGGAAAGAGGCATGTCTTACATGGCAGCAGGCAAAAGAGCAAATGAGCAAAGGGGGAAGCACCTTATAAAACCTTCATGTCTTATGAGAACTCAGTCACTATCACAAGAACAGCATGAGGAAAACTGCCCCCATGATCCAGTTACCTCCCATTAGGTCCCACTTTCGATATGTGGGGATTATGGGAATTCCAATTCAAGATGAGATTTGGGTGGGGACACAGAGCCAAACCGTATCATAAAGAGCTCACAAAGTATATATATTTAATTAATTTTTTTTTTGAGACGGAGTTTCGCTCTTGTTACCCAGGCTGGAGTGCAATGGCGCGATCTCGGCTCACCGCAACCTCCGCCTCCTGGGTTCAGGCAATTCTCCTGCCTCAGCCTCCGGAGTAGCTGGGATTACAGGCACGCGCCACCATGCCCAGCTAATTTTTTGCACCTTTAGTAGAGATGGGGTTTCACCATGTTGACCAGGATGGTCTCGATCTCTTGACCTCGTGATCCACCCGCCTCGGCCTCCCAAAGTGCTGGGATTACAGGCTTGAGCCACCGCGCCCGGCAATTAATTTTTGACAAAGGTGCAAAGACAATTCATTGTAGATAGTCTTTTTCAACAAATGGTGTTGGATCAATTGGATATCCACATACAAATAACAAATCTTGATCTAGATGTTACACTGTATGCAAAAATTAACTCAAAATGAATCATAAACCTAAATGTAAAATTGAAACTATGCAACTTCTAGAAAAAAAATAGAAAACAATTTCTGTAGCCTTGAGTGAAGCAAAGATTTCTTAGATACTATACTGAGAAATCTGATCAATATGGGAAATAATTGATAGATTGAAGTTCATCAATAAGAAAAACTTCTGCTCCTGCAAAGATGCTTTTAAGAGAATAAAAACAGAAGCTGCAGACTGAGAAAATGTTTTCAAATCATGTATCTGATAAAGTAATTGTATGCAGGCTATATAAAGAGCTCTCAACACTCACTAATAGAAAAAAACTAAACAATGAAAACAAAATGGACAAAAACTTGAATAGACATTTCACCAAAAAAGATACACACGTGGAAAATAAGCACATAGAAATTACTCAATAAGTTATCAAGAATATGGTCATTAAAAGCACAATAAGATATCACTACGTATCTATTAGAATGTCTTTAAAAGTGCATAAAAATACAAAAATGTCAAGGATGTGGAACAAGTGCAACTCTCTTACATTATTGGTGGGGACGCAAAATACCTCAGTGACTTTGGAAATTCGTCAGCCAGTTTCTTTTGAAGTTATGCATGCACTTGTTGTACAACTCAGCATTCCCACGCCTGGGTGTTGCCCAAGTGAAATAACTAATGTTCACATGAAAATCTGGATGTGAGCATTTATAGGGGCTTTACTTATAATTGCCAAAAACTAAAATCAACCAAATGTCTCTCAACTGGAAAATGGATAGACAAATTATAGAGTTTTTATACACTTGAATATCACTTAGTATTAAAAAAGAGCAGATTACTGAATCACGAAACAATATACATGAATTTCTTTTCTTCTTTTTTTTTTTTTTTTTTTTTGTTGTTGTTACCCAGGCTGAGTGCAATGAAGTGATCTTGGCTCACTGCCACCTCCCGGGTTCAAGCAATTCTCCTGCCCCAGCCTCTCAAGTAGCTGGGGTTACAGGCACGTGCCACAACACCTGGGTAATTTTGTATTTTTCGTAGAGATGGAGTTTCTCCATGTTGGTCAGACTGGTCTAAATTCCTGACCTCAGGTGATCCACACGACGTGGCCTCCCAAAATGCTGGTATTATGGGTGTGAGCCACAGTGCCCAGCCTACAATATGCATGAATTTCAAATGTATTATGCTAAGTGAAAGAAGCCAGACTTAAAAGACTATATACTGTATGATTTTATTTATTTGACATTCTAGAAAAGGCAGAACTATAGTAACAGAAAGATCAGGGGTGGCCAGGATCTTGGGTTGGGCAGTGGAGTTAACTGTAACATGGCACAGGGTGGTTTTAGGAGTGATGGAATAGTTCTATTTCTTGCATACAGTGGTGGTTATGTGACTGTATGTGTTTCTTAAACTTACAGAAGTGCATATTAAAAAGGGCAAATTTGCCTTATGTAATTTATACTTTAATAAAAATGGAAATAACAAAAATCATTATTGTAAGAGGTAAAAAATACATGGAGCACCAAATGAAAAGATCTAGTTGGATTCCAAGAAAAAGAATTGAGAGATCAAAGGAGATATAATATTTGAAGAGATTATACATTTTCTGGGACTTACAAAAAACACAAATTAATGAATATAAGAGGGATAATATATGCAAATCAGGATAAATCAAGTGAAATGTAAACCTTGATGTTATATAGTAAAAGTACAGAACACTAAAAACAAAGCAGGTGGAGAGGAAAGGCAAATGCAGAAATTACAATTAGAATAATTATGTAGTTTCCTCAACATAAATAATATGGGGAAAACAGGAAAAATATCATTAGAGTACTGAATAAAAATCAGTATCAACCAAAATTTCTGTATTTTTAATATTTATCTTCAATAAAAATGAAAAAATAAAGTTATTTCTATATAATCAAAAAAATATGGGAAAGAATTTTAAGAAGGCATCCTTTCATGATAAAAATTTGCAACAAACTAGGCATACAGGGAACATACCTCAACATAAAAAAGGCCATATATGACAAACCTACCACTAACATTGTACAGAATGGGGAAAAATCCAGAGCCATTTCTCTAAGAACTGGAATAAGATGAGAATGCTCACTTTCACCACTCCTATTCAACATAGTAAAGAAAATGCTAGCCAGTATAATCAGGCAAGAAAAAGAAGTAAAAGACATCCAAATTTGAAAAAGGAAGTGTAATTTTACTTTTTGCTGACGATATATGATCTTACATCTAGTAAAACCTAAAGACTCCACTAAAGACTCTTTGATCTGACAAATACTTTCAGTAAAGTTGCAAGATATAAAATCAACACACAAAAGTAGTAACATTTCTATATACCTGTAATGAACTAGCTGAGAAAGAAATTAAGAAGGCAATCCCATTTATAATAGCTACAAAAAATACCTAGGAATAATTTTAACTAAAAAGGTGAACCATCTCTACAAAGAAAACTAAAAAAGCTCCAATGGAAGAAATTGAAGAGGAAACAAACAAATGGAAAGACATCCCATGCTCACGGATTGTAAGAATTAACATCATTTAAATGGCTGTAGTGTTCAAAGCAATCTACAGATTTAATGCATTTCCTATCAAATTGTTTATGTCATTTTCTCACAGACTTAGAAAAAGGCAATTCTAAAATTTGTATTAATCCAGAAGAGCCAGAATAACCAAAGCAATCCTGAGCAAAAGAGAACAAAGCTGGAAGTGTCACTGACTTCAAAATATATTACAAGGCTATAGTAACCAAAATATCATGGTATTGATATGAAAACAGGCAAATAGACCAATGTAAGAGAGTAGACAATCAAGAGATAAATCTATGTATTTATAGTCAACTGACTCCAACCAACTGACTAAGAACTTACACTGGGGAAAGGACAACTTCTTCAATAAATGGTGCTTGGAAAACTGTGTAACAATTTACAGAAGTATGAAGCTAGACCCTTATCTCTCACTGTACACAAAAATCAACTCATGACAGATTAAAGCCTTAAATGTAAGATCCCAAACTATAAAACTACTAGAAGAAAACATTAGGGAAAATACTTCAGGATATTGGTCTAGACAAAGATTTTATGGCTAAGACCCCAAAAGCATAGACAACAGAAACAAAAATAGACAAATGGGATTATATTACACTTAAAACTTCTGCATGGCAAAGCAATCAACAGAATAAAGAGACAACTTGTTGAAAGGAGCAAATATCTGCAGACCACCAAGGAACTAATATCCAGAATATGCTAGGAACTCAAACAACTCAATTTTTTTTTTCAAGTCAAAGCTGTTTTATTATCATTCACACTATTTCATAGAAAAAGGAAAGTAGCAAACGGGTCAGGGTTGTACATTTTTAAAAACTCCAGGTTTGTAGGGGTCGTGTTATTTAAACATGGGAGCAGGGCTGCCCTGGCATCAGCTGCAGCAGCTGCACTTGTCTGACTCCCCTTTGCAGATGCAGCCCTGGCCACACTTGGCACAGCCCACAGAGCAGCAGGAGCAGCAGCCTTTCTTGCAGGAGGTGCATTTGTGCTCTTTGCACTTGCAGGAGCCGGCTCAGGTGCAGGAGTAACTGGTGGCACAGGAGCAGTTGGGATCCATCCCTAGCTGAAGAGGCAGCTGGAGTCGAACACAGCTGCATGCGAACTCACTGGGACTTGGAGGAGGCGTGGTCAGCTCAATTTTAAAAACCCAACAATCTCATTAAAAAGTGGGTAAAGGGCACGAGTAGACATTTCTCAAAAGACAACATACAAATGGCCAACAGGTTTATAAAAAATGCTCAACATCCATAATTATCAGGGAAATGAAAAATCAAAACCACAATGAGATATCATCTTACCCCAGTTAGAATGATTATTATTTAAAAAAAGACAAAAAAAAATAGATGCAGGTGAGGATGTAGAAAAAAAGAGAACTCTTTTACACTGTTGGTGGGAATGTAAGTTAGTACATTGAGTATGTAAAACAGTATAGAGATTTCTCAAAAAATAAAAAATAGAGCTACTATATGATCCAGTAAGCTCACACTGGGTATTTATTTAAAGGAAAGGGAATCAGTATACCAAAGGAATATCTGTACCTTTGTATTTATTATAGCACTATTCACAATAGCAAAGATGTGGAATCAACCTAACTGTCTGTCAGTAGATGAATGAATAAAGAAAGATGTGGTATATATAAACAATGGAATACTATTTGGCCGTAAAAAGGGATAAAATTATGTCATTTGCAGCAACATGAGTGGAACTGGAGGTTATGATGTTAAATGAAATAAGCTAGGCATATAAAGACACATATTGTATGTTCTCACCCATATGTGGGAGCTATAAAAGTTGATGTCATGGAGATAAAGAATAGAATGATAGATACCAGAGGCTGGGGAGGGTGTGTGGATGGGAGGGAGGGTGATCAAGAATGATTGGTGAGTGGGTGCAAACATACAGTGATTTAGAAGAAATAAGTTCTGATTTTCAATAGCAGAGTAGGGTGACTACAGTTAGTGCAATGTATTGTGTATTTCAAAGTAGCTACAAGAGATGACTTGAAATGTTTGTGAAACAGAACTCACAAATACTCAGGGTGATTGATACCACAAATACTTTTACTTGATAATTACATATTCTAGACATGTAACAAATACTCACATGTACCCACGAAATATGTAAATTATTATGCATCAATAAAAAATGGGAACACTTACCACAAGACTTGACTAAATTAACTTTATTATGTGTACTTAAAGAATAAGAAAGTGGCATTGGAATGACAGTCTGAGATACAAGAAAGAATAAGAGTAAAGAAATTGGTAAAACATGTAGACAAATTTAAACAAAAACACTCTGCCCTTAATAATAAAAGTATTTTAATTTTAGGGTTTGAAAAGGAAAGAAATAAAATACCTGACACCAATAACTTGTCATTTAGGAGCAGGGGATCTTAGTCATACATTCTTGTACTTGCCTTTTTATATATTTGTCTTTGTTGCGTATACAGTCGAGAGTGAAAAGTGCAAGAAACTGTATATATATGGTTTTCAAGTGGGATAGCATCTGGGAGATTATGGAGAGATATGTGGAAGCCACTGCCTTTGTGGAAGCTTCTACCTATGCAGACCAGGAGCCAAGGGCTTGGTATTGTGCTTGGGGGTGGAATTGAACAGTGATTTAGTTTGGCTCTGTGTCCTCACTCAAATCTCATCTCGAATTCTAATCTCTATAATCCTCACATGTCGAGGGAGGTACCAGCTGGAGGTGATTGGATCATGCTGTTCTTATGATAGTGAATGAGGTCTCATGCTCTTGCTTGCTCTCTCACCTGCTGCTATGGAAAATGTGCCTGCTTCCCCTTCCACCGTGATTGTAAGTTTCCTGAGGCCTCCCCAGACAGGCAGAACGGTGAGTCAAACCTCTTTTCTTTATAAATTAAATTACCCAGGCTCAGGTATGTCTTTATAGCAGTCTGAAAATGGACTAATACAAACAATGAAGTCAGCAGGTGATATGAGTTTAGAGTAGAAAAGTAAGAATTGTCTGTGATCCACTGAATATATTTGTGTCTGTCCATTACCACATCTGACTGCTGGAACTTTCTGAGAGTAATAACCTCTGTGTGGTGCTTGTTTTCCAAATGCTGCACAATTTCTTTCATTGGCCAATTCTAACCCTATAGAAAAAAAGATTCTGGGATGTGTTGTTTTCCCTTTGTGTGGGGGTCCCCAAGGCTATTCCAGGTTTGATGATTTGGCTAGCAGGACTGACATGATTCAGCATGTAGTCATGTTCATAGCTATGATTCGTTATGGTGAAAAGATTCAAAGCAAAACAAGCAAAAGGAAAAGGCACAATGAGTGAAGTCCAGAGGAAGCCAGGTACAAACTTCCAATAATTCTTCTCCAGTACAGTCACACACATACTTAATTCCTCCAGCAACGATTTATGACAGCACATTTGAAATGTTGTTTCCCAAGGCAGTGTGTTGGAGACTTAGTGCCCGGGGTTTTTATTGAGGACTGGTCAAATAAGTACCCTCTGCCTAGCATGAACCAACATTCCCGACTTCTAGAGTAAAGCAGATGTTCAATGTAAATCATATTGTTTGTACAAACAGTCTAGGCACAGCGAGCCATTCTTATCAGTTCTGGGAATGTTGGAAATCCTCTCAAAATCCAGGTCCCCAGACAGCAATCCAAAGCCAACTTTCCAAGCAGGATGTTTTAAGGCAGCAGTCTCAGGCTTGCTATGTTAAGTCTTTTCTGCATAGGGCCTGAGACCTGGTGCTTTACTGCCCAAGTCGAAAACAGACAATCCAGCACATGGTGCTAATAAAGAGAGAGACTGGGTGACTAGCAGCCAAAAATGTCAATTCTTCAATACAGAAGTGATTATTATGCTCACTACACTTTGAAAGCATTGGGTAAATACCACATATTTTCTTCTGTGGGTTTGGAGGTATGCATCATGTTCAGGAGACAATTTCTTTATTCTTATAAGTACCGTTTTGCCCACCTGGTAAGCTGGGAAACGGAATTTATAGATATTGCTTTAAAAGTTGAAGTAACAAAATATTTAGCAGTTACACTTATCTTAGCTATATGCTTTTCAGTTTGTTGTGACAGAACTAATCCCTTGCATTGCAGGGTGGTATTGGTAATCCATATGACTTTCACATACTTTCAGCCAAACAAGTAGTTGGGACTGAGGCTGTAAGACAATCTGATTTGATGGTGACTTAGTATGTTATGAGAAATTATGACTCAACTTTTAAAATACTTTCTTTTTTCAATGTTAATAGTGCAACTAATCCAAAAATGCCTGGTAAAAATGTGAATAGGTATTATATATTTTTACTTTTCAAATTTAAAGTACGTAAGGAAATTTCTTACAGAAAGAATTTCTTACATAAAGGATTTCTTACATAAAGAAATTATGGCTTCTTTACAAGCCACCACGCCCGGCTTGTAAAGAAATTTCTTTTTTTTTCTTTTCTTTTCTTTTTTTTTTTGAGACAGAGTTTCACTGTTGTTACCCAGGCTGGTGTGCAATGGCACGATCTCGGCTCACCGCAACCTCCGCCTCCTGGGTTCAAGCAATTCTCCTGCCTCAGCCTCCCCAGTAGCTGGGACTACAGGTGTGCACCACCACGCCCGCCTAATTTTTGTATTTTTAGTAGAGACGGGGTTTCACCTTGTTGACCAAGATGGTCTCGATCTCTTGACCTCGTGATCCACCTGCCTCGGCCTCCCAGCCCAAAGTGCTGGGATTATAGGCGTGAGCCACCGCACCCGGCCAATAAAGAAATTTCTTAAAGCATGTAAAGAAATAACAGATTCTGAGCCGGGCGCGGTGGCTCAAGCCTGTAATCCCAGCACTTTGGGAGGCCGAGGCAGGTGGATCACGAGGTCGAGAGATCGAGACCATCCTGGTCAACATGGTGAAACCCCGTCTCTACTAAAAATACAAAAAAGTAGCTGGGTGTGGTGGCGCGTGCCTGTAATCCCAGCTACTCCGGAGGCTGAGGCAGGAGAATTGCCTGAACCCAGGAGGCGGAGGTTGGGGTGAGCCGAGACCGCGCCATTGCACTCCAGCCTGGGTAACAAGAGCGAAACTCGGTCTCAAAAAAAAAAAAAAAAGAAAGAAAGAAATACCAGATTCTTTGATAAGCATGATCATAATTGGCAACTTGTTATGTTCTTGTGTTGGAATTTTGCCTTTGTAATGTCTCTGATAAGTATTTTTTTTTTCATAATTATATATTTCTGGTGAGACTTCATTTGGTTGGAAATTGCCTTTCAGTTAATTTTCTTTTTTAAGAAAAGAAACTAAAATCATTCTTTAAAATGTTATTGAAGCAACATTGCCACAATTTTTTTTTCTTTCTTTCTTTTTTTTTTTTTTTTTTTTTGAGACGGTGTTTCACTCTTGTTACCCAGGCTGGAGTGCAATGGCGCAATCTCGGCTCACCGCAACCTCCGCCTCCTGGGTTCAGGCAATTCTCCTGCCTCAGCCTCCTGAGTAGCTGGAATTACAGGCACACACCACGATGCTCAGCTAATTTTTTGTATTCTTAGTAGAGATGGGGTTTCACCATGTTGACCAGGATGGTCTCGATTTCTTGACCTCGTGATCCACCCGCCTCGGCCTCCCAAAGTGCTGGGATTACAGGCTTGAGCCACCGCGCCTGGCCTATCATTGCCACATTTTAAAAAATACTTAAAAATTAGCTTACACAATGAAAACAGGTATAGAAGTATCAAAATAATGTAACCAAGGAGGAATCTCATTTCATTCTCTTTCAATTTGGCTTATCATATTTGTAATGACTAATTTCACATGAGAAAATACGCTGCAATAAGTAATTTAATAACCTGTAATTAGAGTCATAATGTCAAATGCTTGTGATACAGTACCTGGAAGTTAAAAAGATATTGGGACATCTGAATCCAATACTTCAATGGAAAGCTTACTATGAAAGGCCTTCTGATATACAAAATATCTAACAGTGAAGGAAAAGAGATAATACATGTTTCTTTGAATGTATGGTTGATCTCATAAGAAAAAGAGGGAAATCCCCAGGGATTGAAAGACTGGCTTCCAGGGAGT